TTTGAAATTAATGCTGGTTTTTCTAAGTTTGTCATGGGTAGCCTTGTGATCCATCCTTTCAATGTGGCTGATACAGTGTATACCAGGTTCAATGTTGAGGCTCTCGAGTGTTTGGCTAATGTACTGATATCCAAGGTTTACTTGGGAGATGCCACAGGCTACTCAGAAGTCATTACTTGCACTTGCCCCATAGTATCTAATTTTGGGACTTTTTGACCTTATAACACTGTTCAAGGCCTCGTTTCTCTGTGAATTTGCCCCAGGTGATAACTTTGCAACTACTACATCAGTACAATATTCATCAAGAATTCTCTCCAAAGCTTTCCTCAAGTCATCACCATAGAGATCTTTGCCATGGGGTAAGTCAGAGTGGTTATAGTTAATAGGGTCTTTCGTGGCACCACACCAGGATTCATTGCAATTTGTGTGGTTTCCAAAGGAGTGTGGTAGAATGCCTTTTAAGGATTTTTGAAGGGCTGATGTATTCCCCTTATTTTGAGACACGCTATAAGTAAAACATTTGACCAAGTAGTTGACAACTTTCTGTGAGAGAGCTGATGAATTTACAAATTTCCCACATTGGTTTAGGTTATACAACATTGTAGTTAGTGATCTTTTGGCATGCACAAAGTCTGTCCACTTTTCTACTGGAGAAGGGACAGTCTCTTTTATATGTGCAGCTGTTGTGGAGTCTTCATCTCCAACAAAAACACACAGTTTGACTCTAGAATTTAGGCTTTCAGTAAACAAATGGACTGCTGCCATAGGCTCCATTGCCTTTGATGATGCTGTATGATTGAGTCGACAGTTGTGTTGCTTGGCTTCTTTTCCAGTTTTTCTAGCATTTGCGCAAACCCTGCAGGATGTTGTTCTTGTAGTATAATCCATAACCTTCCCATAAGTTCAACCCTTGACTGCAGCTTGACCAGTTGATGAGTTATGCCCCTTTCCTGGTTTTGCCAACCCATGTCATATGAGCAGGGGATATTGATGCAGCCTGGGTCATCTACTTTTCCACCTTTTTTGATGGCAGCATTTCTTTCTTCTGACATTGCAGTTTTGCAACTTTTTTTAATTACTTGCTCTACTGCCTGCCCAATTTCATTTTCTCTACTCTTAAAAGTTACTGGGTTCATAGAGGGAATATTTAATGTACACAGTAAATTGTTTAGGTGGGTTTCACCGATTCTTGTGTGTAGACACCCAAGAACAGCTCTTGAATTAACATCATGACTGAGAGGACCTCTTTGACCACTCCTGTGTTCACTGGAGGTCTTGACAACATTCTTTCAACTACACGCTGCACAGGTAACTGAGAACACTGAGGCTAGCCCATAATTTTTTTCTTCTGTTATGTTCCACAATGACAAATTGGCTGAAAGTGACAATATTGATACTCAAGAAAATTTGACACTTAGTTCTGGCAGTTTGTTTTCTCCATTGAAATAAATGAGCAAAGGTAAATTTTTTGTAAAATTAACAAAATTTTATAAAAGCTGTAAATGCTACTTGTGGTTTGTGGAAAATTTACAACTGCTTGTTTGTTCCAAATTTGCCAAAAAACATTTTTTGTTGCTATCAATAGAAATACAATTGTGTGACACTTGGTATAGGGTAAGAACTTGCCCAAAAATTTATTGCTTATGAGAAGTTTTGTAATGTTTTGAAGATGTACATGTTTCATCAACCACATAACTGTTTCTTGAAAACCTGTTCATTTTATAGCCTCAAAGTTGTGTACATGTACTTGCCATAAAACTGAGAATTCATTTTGATTTTTTTTTCAGTTTTGATTTTCTTTGGGCAGATAAAAATTATTTCTTCTTACCTGTTTTACAGTGCTGACAACATTTCAATGAACTTCTCAAAACATACAAGTCCATAATTCTACTTCCATGTGGAGTGCAATTTTCCTTCTTTGTTTCTTTCAGACTAAAATTCAATATATGTACATGATAATGATAATTTTATTATTAGGTTTTAACTTTAACCAAACATTTGTTGGAATTTAAAATGAAATGTCAAAATGTTTAGGTTTAATCATATTGATGAAACAACTCGCTATGACCTATTTGTGGTATAATACAAAAATTCCTTTGGAAAATTCATTACTTGATGAGGGAATTCTGCCTTAAATTGCATGCAAAAACCGATATCAAGTACAATTTAAGGCAGAATTCACGAGTGAAGTAGTGGATTTTTGCAATTCCACACTAAATACCTGGCTTCATTAACCAATCATAATGCGAGATTTTATTCAATGATGCGATTCAAATTGAGAACAATTTTTAGAGCAAAGAAAGACTTAAGGAAGCACTTTTCTCAAAACTTTTAGGTGAATTGCTTGGTGCCACGCATAGTGAAAACAAAATTTAAACTACACCTGACTTAAACGGGTTTCTCCTTTTTACGGTGGCGACCAATCTTCTACCATTCCTTTAAAATCTAATTTCCTCTTTGCCCTCCACTCCTTTATCCCACGAGTCCTGTCATCCACGTTTTCACTTCGAGTGGGTTTCTCTTGTGAAAACCGACCCCTTTCGTCACGCTTTGGTGATTGTTTTTCCCATGTCAGTAGCGCCTCTGCAGACACTCCAGCTGTTTTCAGTGTATCATCGCCCATGGAGCTCAAAGCGAAGCCTCCAACCATAAAAAGTGCACCGTGACCACGCTGCGACTTCCTTTGAGTTCGATGACGACCGTCTACTCTCTCTGATATCGGCGCAATAAATGCTGCGAATTTACTCCTCAGTTTAACCACGTCAAGAGAAGACGAAAGAGGTGTATTTTCAAACACATTTTTAGGAGTTTGTAAGTGAAACACGATTCGCGATTAAAGTCTCGCCGCCATGTTTATTTTTATTTTGGAATTTTTTCTACTTTTGTGAGAAGTTTACCTAAGAGCTTGTATTTGATGTGTTGAGCGGCCACTATGAATGCAGGAGATAGAAACTAAGATAACGAAGACGATTTTTCGGAGAAGTAAAGGTTGCTTCACTTCACAATTAAAAGAAATATTCAACCGATATGAAATCTTGCGACGGAGAAAAGAGAACTTAAGTGAAGGATAATCTACCTGAAGTGGAAGAAGACTTTGAAACTTAAAGGAAAATAATATGAAAAAGCCAGAAGTCATGTGTAGGATTTTTAAGATGAGCTCGGGAGGCTGTCTTTGACGGCTGTTTAATGATTTTCTTAGCAATAAACGTCTGCAAACAATAGATCGTAGGTGCTCGCGCGAGCACACGCAATTGTCAGCGGTAGCTAAAACAGATCATGAGCAAATGTCGATCTTAGAGAATCCAGATTTTTAAAACGCGCGTGGAAATTGCTAAACTCACGAAAGCTATTGCATGAAAACAAGTCCGGTGACCCCTTCTTTTTATTGTTCCAATATGATAATAACGTCGAAAGGAATCATCAGAAAAAAAAATAGAAAANCCCTTGAGCTGTGAATTAATACAAAAAGTCCATTCCCAGCCTTTCATTAATCATTATTCAAGTCCAGTGGCTCATAGCCACTCTGATTATGGCTACTGCCTTCGACTGAGGCAAAGGCATTATATTGTCCTGTTGCGTGAGGGAGTGAGTGTAACAATAGAATACAAACAACCTCTTGGCCCACAATGAAGTCTACAGAGTTTTAGCTGATAATCCTTGTTCTTTGTGTCTACATTGAGGAAATGACTAGCTCAAATGATCACCACATAGGGCGTAATATCAAATCAAGCTTCAAGAATCATTCAGTATAAAAGAAATACATTTATAATGCACAATCAGAAAAAATGCAGATCAAGTCTTTTGACTCATAGCTAGATTCTGAAAACTTCAATGTAAAATTACTTTGGTGGTGGGTTGTTACAATGGCTCACTTTACAGGTCAGCAGATTCTTTAAATAGATTCTCCAGGTACACTGTCATTTACAGACAGACTAGAAATTAACTTCTTTCTTATATTAATTCTTCTGAAACACTGGTTTGTAACATAATTACCTATGGCTTTTAAATAAATGTCCAGAATAAATATCTATCACAATTCTTGTCATCAAATAAATCTATCAATAAGAGACAATTACCCTGTATACCTATTCGATAAACGAAACTCAAATATCAACGCAGATGGGGGTTATTGCTTTAAAACTTTCTGGTGATTTTGCACCACATGACATAAAGTTGCCAAATAACTGGTGTTATTATCCAACTACACCTCGTAGAGTACAAATAATGCCATAGACGAGTACAAATATCACGCGGTATTTGTATTCTAGAGTACTGGTTAAACAGGTTTTCTCGCATTGTGCAAGCAAAGAATTGGATCGTAGTTATGAAAAAAATTGGCAGACAATTTGAATTACATTTCCGGCAATGAAAAGTAAGAATGGCTGGCAAATGTAAATCCAAGTTTATTAGATGAATTCAACAAAGAAAAACAGCAAGACGACTAGGAATTTCTTCATCTGTTGAAGAAAATAGAAACAGCAACATGACAACGTACCAATTCCATTCCACTTCGCATACTTCTGTCACACACTCCCCGTAAATAAACAGCCACGAAATTCGTCCGCACTGAAATGACAGCTTGGTGTGTTGAATAATAAATAACTTCTTAGATGTTCTGTTGTGTACTATCCCTGAGTATTTTTACTCATTTGTATTTTGACTCGCCCTACGGGCTCATTAAAATATGGCACAACTCATAAAAATACTCAGCAATACTACATGTACACAACAAAATGTCTAATAACTAAAGATATATTTATTTCCTAAGGTTCAAAACTTACTTCTTATACCAACTGCACTTTCTATCAGCTACCACCACGATGTTGAGAGAACACTCCAAAAGCTTATAAGTCACTCACCTCTGGCACTTGATAACAAACTTTTCCTGTGTTCTCTCACTATCCCAAGTATGTCTGTGACTAATCTGGGTGCTTGTTGTAAACTGGTAAACCTGTAGAAAGAGCAGTCTATCACTTTAATATTCCACCTTACAGATTATTTGTTCCTGGACACTCGCAGTTTTCTATGAGCTTTGTTCTCAGAGGACTTTTGGTGTCAGGGAACAGATGATGTCTGAGGAAAATGTTCAACCATGTTTTTGTGTCTAATGAAAGCTGATGTTTATAATTCATTACCCTCCAGGCCCTTTGTCTTTTCTCATGCATTGAGAAATCCTATGAAAATGCAACTAGCAAACTGTTAAATAAAACCCCAACAATTTTTTGGACACAGTGTTTTGTTCCCAACAGCACATTAAGGAGATTGACCACAGACTACACTTCACAGTAAATTGGCCACCACTCCTAATTGCTGTGCAAATTCATAGTGAAGTAAAACTACCAAAATCCCAGAAGAATTAAACCTACATCCCTCGATGTACATCGACACTCAATAGAAAATTGCCCTTTTAACAATTAGAGACTGTTAAATGGACATCTTTCATCTCTATAATGTCACAGTTATAATGAAAGTAATAATCTGACTTGGCCTCATGGAGAGCTGCATTACATTTTCTCATAGCAATACCTTTGTTAAGAGGAAAGATTCTCACCATTGTAAGTATACATTTAGTTAATTCTTTTATCTTGTTTTCTTCACCTTTGTAGATTAGAAGTTTTATGTTCAGAGCTTTAGCTTACAACCCTAGAGGCTTGGACTTGTACTTTTAAATGTAAACAAGACTTTGTGTTGCCATGAGAATACATACATAGTTTTACATACATACACTTTATTGAGCATCCCTGAAAAGGGCTTTTCAGCATCAATATTAAAAATAGTAAAACTAAACAAATAACTTAATAACTATATACTTTCATATTACTTATATATTACTTAATTACTATATGCAAACAACAATTATCATCAAA